ACAATATGTATGGTTTATTATTGTCAAGTACTGTACTATCTACATGCAGAGTAACTATTAGTTGTTAAATTATATTACTAATTTAAACAACTCTGTACAACAATAGTGTATTAGGTACATGTATGCACTACTGAAATAACATTTTAGCATGCTCCATTCTTCTGGGTGCTTTTCCGTAAATAAATTGCATACATTTTCAATGTTGAGAGAAGTGTCATAATGATTATGTATTAAAAGCTAGAGCATTCAGCCTTTCTTCGATTTGTGTACACTTCACATAATTATTCAACCAGCGGAGAGCAGATGCCGAACGTTCAAATGATCAGGAACTTTAAAAATAAGGGGTTCGCCCCACCTCTTGAGTACATGCGTGATACTTCAACTTACCTTCGCCGAACTTATTTTCATTTCAGCGGTGAGGTGCTATAATGTAAGGATCAAATCCACTATTCGTTGGTAAAACGTAGCTCAAGGATTAGCGGTAGGTGGTGTTAACTCAAAACAACCTTCGTTCTCTATAGTCTATCACTTGAAAATTAGACACTGCTATCGCAAATAGCCCTCAAGTAGCTTTGCGTGAAATTCGATAAGCAAGCAAACTTGAACATTTAAAGTTTATAAGTACTTCTCATATCGTTTATGTGCATATTGTTTATTACTTTTAAGCAGAAAGCTACACAATGGGCTATCTGTGTTCTGCCCACGGCGGGTATCGGAATCGGGTGAAAAACCGTGAAAAAGCTCCCAGACATATCGCTGAGGCATCAAAGGCCAAAACCAGTGCCGGATTTACCTATAGGCTTGGCAGGCTGAAGCCTAGGGCCCCAAAATCTAGGGGGCCTCCGGCCAAAGTGTATAATATTTTTGACGCTGTCATAGGCCTTTCTTACACATGCTGTCATAACGCACTGTAGTCTCTAAACAACCCTTCAGTAATTTTCCTTGCACTCCATTTCAGAATAATACTGTCTTAAGCCAATAACTCGACACTAGCATTGATTTCTGTATTGATTTTGCCCTTCCAGGAAAGGAGTGAGATAGATAAGTTGACAACACAGCTGTGCAAGTATCTGCAGAGCGGCAGAAGACGTTGCCGTTTTCATCAGTAAGGTTGGTGATAAAACTACGCTGATTTGTAGCGTCATTGTTAACTGTAGGAAAAAGCATACTCGTTTTGTATATGGTTATCAAGTTCGGGAATCTCTTAGCTGCAATAGACTGGAACAGGGAATTTATAAACAAAAGCTGTATTGAAATGTGGGAAATATTTAAGCGTAAATTAGATAAAATTCAGAGAGAGAGTGTGTATTCCGTACAAATCTATTCGTAAAAATAAAGAAAGTAAGCCCTTATGGTGGAATAGAAATACAAGCAGGTTAATTAATAGTAAAAAGATAAAAAACATAAAATATATAGACAGACTAAAAGGGGAAGAGGATGGAATTGCTTATAAAATTGTAAGAAATGAGTTAAATAGGATAATACGGAAAAGTAGAAGGGAAAGAGAAATTAGATTAGCGATGAACAAAAATAAAAATCCAAAAGAATTATTTAAGTATTATAAAGCAAACAACAAAAATGAAAGACAGGATACTTGAAAATAATAGTGAGATATTCAAAGCCTTAAATAATCATTTTAGTGCAGTGTTCACTTCATAAAGGGCAAATTATCCCAGTTTAGGAAATACAACTAAATAGTAAACATGACAGGCCTTTCTGGTATTTAATTGTAGCATATTAATAACTGCTTAGTTATACAGTTGTTACATGTACATGTATGTATGTGCGTATATGTATATATGTATGTATGTGTGTATATGTATATATGTATGATGTATGTATGTATGTATGTATGATGTATGTGTGTATATGTATGATGTATGTGTGTATATGTATATATGTATATGTAAAATATGTTTGTATATGTATAGATGTATATATGTATAGATGTATATATGTATATGCATGCATGTATGTATGTATGTGTATATGCGTATATGTTGGTTACATAGTTGAATGAAATAATATTAAGGTAAATATTCTGCATGAAATGATTTGGCAGTTGCCTGGTGAAGGGATGGGAGTAGATAGATGGATGGCCTGTTCAGTGTCAATATATGAGTGCAACAAAAAAACCACCGGGCTCTATCTAGGTTGTCTGAATGTATATGAATTGAAATGAAAGAATAAAAAAATCAAGAAAATGAACAGTATTGAGGATATAAAATAATAACAATAATAACTTTAAAAATTAACAAGTTTGAGAACATCCACACTCATACAACGTTTGGCATTGCGAGAAAAAGGATATTTTTTATGTCTCTTTTATAACTGTTGAAGATTAATTTAACTTTTTATTTTCAGATTCTAATCTGAGCATGAGTAAAAGATTTGAAAGTGGTGCTAGCAAGCGCAAGAGAAAGAGACTTGAAAATGATATGGTAAAGAAGTTAAGACCAATCACTGCTTTCTTGCATCAGCCACAGACAGAAGCAACAAGTGCCAGCGGTGAAGCAGAGACATTGATACTAACACAAGGAAATCAGTGTGGTGGAGCTATCCAGCCAACTACTAGCATTCAACCGGAAGAAAATCTCCCTGAAACAGAAACAGCGAAGCAGGACGCGGAACAGCAAGCTAATTATGAGGAAGCAGACATGATGCCGGCTTAAAATGAAAATATAGAACTAATTCAAGAGTCACTTACCGGACAGGGAGAGGCTAAAGAGCCACAGGAAAATAATGTGGATAGTCAGAATTTTCAGCTCACACCTGGTAAGGTTGGCCAAGTCCAAGCTATTCCATATGCAGATATAGATGATGTCAAACATAGATCTATTGTAACAGACGTTGGTTTGTGGACAAAATTATCACTTGAGGAAATATCCTATTGGGTAGAGAGGGGCCCCTCTCAAGTTCAGCATCGTGGTGGACCATTTTCAAGCGAGTGTACAAAAAGCAGTCCAAGTTGTGCACAAAAGCTCTTTTTTTATTCAACAAAAGTCAATGGGGAAACATATAGCTGAGAGTGGCTTGTGTATTCTCCCTCAAAAGGCCGGATTTATTGCTTTGTTTGTAAACTCTTTCCAAACGTTGCATCTTCTGCTACAGCTTTAGCTTCTGAAGGGTTTGATGATTGGCATAACTCCTATCTTATCCAAACTCATGAAAACTCAGAGAAGCACAGGAATGCCATATTGACCTACCTAACAAGGAAGCGAGGGCAAACATTAACTTCAAAGCTAGAGGAACAAATAAAAGCAGAACAACAGTACTGATGGCATGTTATGGAGAGAACTATCGCTGTAATATGCACTCTTGCAAAACAAGGCTTACCATTCAGAGGAAAAATGAACAATTTGGATCTTCAGATAACGGCAATTATCTTGGTTTTTTAGAACTAGTAGCAAAATTTGAACCATTTTTACTCACTCATATTAATCGGTATGGAAATTCCAGATCAGGAAATCCCTCTTATTTGTCAAAAACTGTATGAGAGGAAATGATTCAACTCATTGCAAAAAAGTTAAGGATTCAATTCTGAGTGACGTGAAAAAGGCTGGATATTTCAGCTAGTCAGTAGATTACACCCCTGACATTTCACATACTGATAAGTTGACTTTAATTATCAGATATGTATCGCCTGAAGACGGTTTACCAAGTGAGAGATTTTTAACTTTCCTTGAGCTAAAAGACCACTCAGGAGAAAGCATGGCTGATTTAGTGTTTAACTATCTGACTACTGAGCTTGAAATTGACTTTAGAAAATGCTGAGGGCAGTCTTATGACAATGCTGCCAACATGGCTTGTAGGTACAACGGTATGCAGCAAAAAATACTCGAAAAAAAACAAATTTGCAAGATTTATTCCATGCGCTGGTCAGTCTTTAAATTTAGTGGACTGTTCAGCTGTTGATTGCCGCCTTGATGCAGTGAACTTTTTTGACATTATCAATGAAATTTATACATTCTTTTCATCCTCTACAAAGAGTTGGGCAGTTCTAAAATCATTTTTGCAACTTCAGTCAAAGTGCCTAAAGGTGGGAGTCACATGCAAAAGTCATAAAAGCTATTTTGGAAAGTTAAAGAGCTATCACTGATTCCCTCAGTCATTTGTACTCTGATGTTAATGAGAAGGGTGATACCAGGCTTCAAGCTAACAATCTTTTGTAGAAAATGGAAGAACTGGAATTTGTGTTTATGCTACATTTTTGGACCCATGTGCTACGTAATTTTCACAAGGTAAGCAAAGCCATTCAGAAATCAGAACTGTTATTGAGTAGTTGTGCATGTTTGTACAGTTCACTTCAGGATTTTTTAAGCAAAATTAGAGAAGATTTTGATGAGCTTGAGCAACAAGCAAAAGCTACCTTGCCAAATGTTAACTACAGAACTGTCATAAGGAGACAAAGAGTAAGGAAACGGCATGGAAATGACGGAAATGTACCTGGTCCTGATGCTTTAGATGAACTCTCTTCAAGTGATAAATTTAGGATAAAATCCTTTATTCCTATACTAGATGCACTTGACGCCAATTTAAGAAAAAGAACTGGTGTGTACAGCGATGTTGCACAAATGTTTTCCTTTCTTGCTAATCTGACAGCATCAAAGCAAGAAATTCAGCAAGGTGTTGAACTGTTGATGGAAGCACACCCAGAAGATGTTGACCTGAAACTTACTGATGAACTTTTACACTTTCACTTGTACGTGAGACAAAGCCATAGGCCTACAGAAGAGCACTCTCTGTCTCATATAGACCTTTATCAACTTATATACAAGGAAAAAATCAAGATGGCCTTCCCTAATGTGGAAGCAGTCATGCGGCTATTTCTTAGCTTAATGGTCACTAACTGCTTGGGAGAGATGTCTTTTTCAAGACTCAAAATAATTAAAAATGAATTAAGGGCCACAGTGTCTCAAGTGAGGTTGTCCGCACTGAGCATTCTGTGCATTGAAAGTGACAAACTTAGACAAACAAATTTTGATGAACTTTTGAATGATTTTGCTATGAGGAAGGCTAGAAAAAACTTTTTTTTAGTCTTAGTGTATTTGATGATTGTAGTTTTTTGTTTCTTAATATGTATTTTAAAACCGACTGTTTAATGAAAACATATAGCAGGATCTAAAAGTGTCACACTGTCACTGTCAGGTAGTCATGATCATCTTATTAACACTTCCTAGCCAATAAAATTTGCAAGCTCAAGGTTTTTTTCAAGAATATAACAGTAAACTTACAATTTCATTTTTCATAAGAATTCCTGCTTATTCCACAAAATGTTTACAAAGTTCGGTTATTGCAAAAGTTTTTCATAAAGTTAATTTTAACATTTATGTATTTTTTTTCAATCACTACGGTATTTAACAATAACATCTTATGTCCTTTAGAGGAGGAATTGTGAATTACGGAATTTTAAAAACCCGACATCATCCTCGGCTTCACTGAATTTTGTTTAAAACACTCTTCCATCTTCCTCTAGTCGTGAGGGGGAGATTGGAAGGGGCCTCACAAGTGGAATAGCCTAGGGCTTCTCTTCATCTAAATCCAGCCTTGGATACAGCAATGTTTATTGTCACTCTGTTTGCTGAGTTGAGGATTGGTAAACCCAATTTAGAGGTATTACCACTTGTCTGCATTACGGACTGCAAATGACTTGTCGATACGATAAAAATCAAACAAGTTCATAAATGAAAAACATTTGAGAATTGAGATCAACTTGTTGAAAGTCTTCAGATCAAAGAAATTATTTGGTCTGACACTGGAAAACAACTAGCTGATTGTCTGATGGAAATGGAGGCTTCATCTTTTATGCTAATGAAGATACTTTAAGAAGGTATATTGGAATTTTAGAAACTTTATGAACTATAGAACTGTGTTATTTTAGTGTTGATGTTATTTGTTCCTTTTTAATTTTTGGACATTCTTCTGTTGTGTTGAAATTTGAAATTCCCAGTTATTGATCTGAACTTCAGTAATGACTTATGATAAACGTTTCTTGAAAAAAAAAAGAGTATGGAAAAATTTGTTGACAATGTTGTTGTTACGAATATTTGGGCTACTTTATTTGTACTACTTTTCTCCACCATCCTTTGAACATATGCAGTAGATTGAGTCAGTCAGTATGTCCTATGAAAATTGCCATTACGGGGAGTTCTGTTGAGTACGCAAGTATAAATTTATTGTGCTTCAACCCAATTTGGGAGTATTACTGAATGTACTTCCAATTCTAGCTTTGCACTTTACGAGAATAGTGAAGTGTCATTACTACCAGAAACAGTGTGTCTGGCCCAAAGACAAAACTAAAGAAAAATCACAGAAGTATGCTACACGGGCACACAATTTAAAAGATTCCGACTGTGGTCTAAACACATTACTGATTATATGCATCAAAAAATTGTTTTATTTGCTGTACAATAGCATGAAGAAATGCTATACACCATGAATTCAATTTCAAAAGATGCAGAATGCCATAATTTTTCTCATATAACATCAAAAATACCTTTGATACGTGTTTTTCAGTGTCACTCCAATGAGATGGAAAACTTCAACAGATGAGATACATTGCTTTCTGCACTCTCAGTCCAACACATGATGGAGTGCACATACTGATGTCTAGTTGCAATGTATCTCCCAAACATTTTTGTAAGCAATGAAGTGTGCTCTTGAAGCATCAAATTTGACACCAGAAATTCGTTCAGATGTGAAATCCTTGAAATAATAGTTCAACTAATTTTTACACCTTGTGTTAGATACCTTCTGGTTCAAATTTATTCAAATATTATTGAATAAAACAAGAGAAAATAAAATCTCATGGGATATTGCTCGAGATGGAATTAGCTCTCATTGCAGATCTCTAGGAAAAGTTATGACAACTGAGAGACAAATGGCCCAACATTTTGTCAGAAGCACATCTTGTTACAGAAGGCATGAAAATTGCACCATACTTCCTAGAGAAGAGTTAGGAAATAGAAAAGACTTCAAGATGAGGCCCCAGGTTCTCCAGAAAAATCAAGCCTAACAATCACTTCCACTGCAGAAACCAAAGCAGAATCTTTGTTTAGAATAAATGTCTTTTATTGTACTTTGGGCTATGTTATAAATGATCTGGAACACCAATTTAAGGCAGCCATGGACATATATGTCACATTTACTCCAGTTTTCAATCATGTCTGTCTAGATACTGATGAACTTGAAGCAACAGTGAAAAGTATAGTTCAGAAGTACCTTATAGACCTGTCAAATAACTTTGTATGCACAATATTGCACTTAAAGAAAACTTTTAAATTTACATTCTGCAAAAATACTTACTCTGCTAAGCAAAATTTACAGCGAGAAACTGCAGCTAGTCTTCTGTATGTTACTAGTGACTGTTGCTGAGCCTGAACAAAATAATAGCAAAAACTGAAAAACTGGGACATCAACATTTAAGATATATCTTGTGTTTTTATCAACTAAATGTGAATTTCCCAGAAAAAATTGTCTTTATTAATTATTCCGCTTTGAAAAAAAACAAAAGACTAGAAAAGTGGTTTTAATGGTAAAGTGGAAAGTTTGTCCATCATTTTCTTCATTTCATGATCATGTAGCTTAAATATTCTTTCCATGTTACTCTTTCATGTTATTTTCTGGCTACATAAGATATTCAAATCATCTTCTGTTCTACTATAAAGTACAAACCCTGTTAATCTGTTTTCCAGATTGTTTAATTGATGTCAGTTATGTGTTTCTCAATTCTGGTGTGGATGTAATACATTTATTTTAATAAAAGATAAATGACTAACCAAGTGAAAATATATATATAGTTAAGGGGTAGGAGTCAGGTTGTGTACTGGACCTGAGAAAGTGATGCTTGGGCCCTGTCTTCAAACACCCACTGAACAGTATGTTTTCTAGTTCTTCAAACATCTACTGAATGGCAAGTAAAAAAAAAGACACTAAAAACACCAATTAGAATTTTCTCTTTCATTTTCCTATTAAACTGTAAACTTTTTATTTGCAGTTTATACATTTAAATGTTTTGTACATTTTTCATTTAACTAACAACTTTTATTGTTATATAGATTAGCAGTATGCATTACAGATATTCTATTGCATTGTCATTCAACATGAGTATGTGAAACACATCATAATGACAGCTTGAGCTTTATACATTATGATGTTATTTCACTGATAGGTAGTGGCTTACCATCATTAACAATTAAAAACATATTTTTCACATAAAGTTTCCAATTTCCTTTGTTACTTTATGCATTTTTAAATGATTGTACAGATATGTTTCTAAACATGTTTTATAAGTATCTAGAAATGTTTAAAAGTCACAGTTCAACTACAAATAATTATTATACATGGCAAATTTTATAACTGATGTCACTAGACAAATGCAATAGCGTGAGCAATAATAAACCATAATTAGCATTATCAAATTTCCTTTTAAACTAAATAACAATCCTTGGTGTTTATGAATCAATAATGTTATGGAAACCTTAAAATAAATTTATGTTTAAAGAAAAAATATGAAAAACATTCCAGTATATGTAACAACATGTTGTTTTAATACAGCTTAAATATAAACCACACATTCTAGTATGTTATGTTCTAGTTCAATGGTTAAATTATATCACAGACAGAACTAGTTTTCTCCTTGCAAAGTATGTGCCCATTATATGCCTTTACCACTGACATTGAAAGCAAAAAACAGGAACCAGATGCAAGTAAATAAGTCTTTTGAGAAAGAGAATGTCATCAAATGACTAAGCTACGTCAATCACTCTTTTTTTTTGCATTGAAAAAAACAAAACAAAAAATTCACCCACATGACATTATATAATGATTACAATAAGATTACGTCTAATACCTTGGAACAAATTTAATGAATAGTTTGATTAAAACCAGTTAATACTAATAAGACTGACATACATAATAAAGTGAATTTGAATGTCTTGAATGAAAAATACATCAATATATAAATTTTTAAAATGTTCCTCTTCAAAGTAAATCTGCCTACAAAAGGTAGCTTAATAAGGTTTGGCATCATAAAAAAAAAACATAAAGCAATGAAAAAATACTACATAAAATATTTGTAGAAATATGTATACACATGTAAAATAAAACAAAAACCAAACATTAACCTTCAAATTACCAACTTGTTTATATATTATTCTTTACCCAATAACTCCATATATTATATTACATTGAGTAAGTTTATGTTTTTGTGTGACCACAATCATTATAAAGGAATTACTACAAAAAGTATATAAAATTAGATATTTTCTATGTATAATACATAGGAAACATCAGTAGTAATTAATGCAGTACTGACAGTATTTTTGTGTTGTTGTTTAAATTGTTTTTTGTGATTTTTTACAGATCCTGCAACCAATAAAGTCATTGACCCACAAACAATTTGGTCAAAAACAGTGAAGAAAAATTAGTTTTAAAAAAGCTGATAGGGCCAGATGCATCTCAGTTATTCTACGGTTAAAGCTATTATTAAACAAAATAGAAAATATACATAAACATGTATATGTATCAATAGCATATGGTGGGCTTTCAAGTTAGTCATGCAGTAAGAACCAATTCATGCAACATACCTAAGAAAAGAAAAACAGATTCATATATACAGAATATGTTTACTCTTTCTATTTGTACATAAAATCCAACCAACAAATTTTACGTAAAATTATTGCATTGAAGAATCAAGCAAAGCATGCAACATCATTGACCCTGAACTCCTACACATGCACTAGCTGTCATGCTATTTTAAAGTAGCATGAATTGAGCTGTATCACATGTGGCTGTGACTTCATTCCACAAAACAGGATACTATTGATATTGCCAGATTAGGCTTGCAGAGCTTATATAGCATGAGTTGAGAATACTGCCACAACTGCAAAATAATGAATGTGTGAATGCTGAACATATGCTAAAACAGATTAAATACAAGAAAACACATTTTATTACATAGTGTTATCACCACCTTTTCAGTTTTCTCATTGGTCATGCAGTGCATGACTTGCATGTCCTGACTGCATGCCACTGACATATATATATACAATTTCAAGGCATGAAATGCAAGAATTTGGATTCAGTTAGCATTCAAACTTATAATTTCAGTATACTTCAACTAGAGCTTTTTTCATCAATTTGGCAAATTCTGTACTTATTATACAGTAACATAATACCAATCAAATCAAATTAATACAGACATTTACAGAAGTTTTTATACATATCTAATATCAAAAAATAGTTGCATTATTATCAAGGTCTATAAACATAAAATAAAAATTTAATATTTATCTACCATCACAACATCAGGTAAATATTAAATAAAATATTTTACCTGTTACAAATTCCAATGAGAATTGCAGAGCTAAGTAGTTAATGGAACTTAATAACTGATTAATCATCAGGTTCATTAATCAATTGCAGGCAACTAATTGAATATTTCTATGTTAGACTTAGATAGTTGGTATAATCAAATATAATACAAATGACAAACATTAATTTCAATTAGTTGATTATTTTCTTATAATTAATTGAGTAAATCATAATTCTAATTAATCAATTATACATCAATTAACTGAGTTAATCTCCTAGTTCTAATGAATTGTAAAAATTGATTTGTCAGGTTAATTTACACTGTAACAAGTAATCTTATGGCCTATCAAAACTCAAAGCTTTTTGAAAAATTATTTGGTTTCTAATCAATTATTTTCATGATATTTAGCCGTTTTATATAGCTTGGAATGTTTCTTTCATATGTAAGCTCCATTTTAAAATTCCAGGTTGTTTGGACAAATATATTTACCTTCCTGGACGGCTTATATAATTCATAGATTAGACAAGATAAATAAGCAAAATAAAAAACATAAATACTCCTATTATCAATAATGTAACTAGAAACTATAAATGTATTTTTACATCAAAATCAAACCCGTACATAGTTAAAAAACACTTTCTAAGAAATACACAATCATTACATAGTTATAGGAAAGTGTGTAACAACTTTAAACTCTTAGTAACTAACAACTGTCAAATGAAAAATGTTAATTGAATATTTTCATCCATTTAGTTAAAATGTCTGTTAGTAGAATCATTTTTTCTTTGGACCAGATGTCCTAATCTCTGCTTGGATTAAGAGTATGTTCTTTATTAACTGAATTATCATGAAAATGTGCTTTCAATCATAAGCGCCTGAACAAGTGTTCAAACTAGACTTTTACAGTGTATTCATCAGGTTTTGTGTATAATGTAGCAAAGTTCAATCATTTTGCTAAAATTTCATATTCTTCTTTACTTTTAAGAAATTATTTTATCTTGAATCACAAAAACAGTGGAACTTTATCCAGCTTGTTTATGTGATAACACATTTCTTTTGAAACATACAACTGCCATTCGTTCTCATATCAAGCCTTACAAAAAAAAAAAAAAACTCAAAATATTGTTAATAAAAGTTGTTTTTTTTTTCTTAGATGTGTATTTTCAAAACATGCTGTTCATATTATTTTGTTACTGAAAACCTGCATTGGGCCAGTAAAGATTGATGTAACCCCCTGAATAAAATTAATCACAAACTGGATGCCTCATTGAAAATTTTTTGTTTGAGCTATGTCACTATTGACAACACCAATTTTAGTCATTCCATACAACCTATTATTTTGTAGTTTTTCATCAAAATATTCTTACAGCTTATTTTTTCTTAAATATTTGCATTCAACAAAAAGTTTATTATCATTACTTGATATTTATTATGACTATTGAAATTAGTATTTTGTATATTATCTATCCATTGGTTGTGTTTTCGTATTGCTCAAACTGTAGTTAATAAATAGTACTGAACTGTACTTTGCTTATTCATGAAATTCAGTTCTAAAGGGTCTTCCTATAAAATTTGCCCCAGTCCTCTCAAGTCCTTAATCTGTCACTGCATGTACTTCATTATTATAGTTTATTTAACTCTTGTCAATTGCTAGCTTTGATTTTCAAAAACTTAAGCTAAATTACTGTACCTACAGTCAAGAAACTGTAGTTGTCACAGCTGAAAGTAATAACTTAGAAATCACACGGTTAATTGATACAAAATACTGCAAGCTTTTTGCAGAAAACAATTTCTTTAAAAAACTGCAAAATTCCTCGTTATAGTAATACACAAGTTCTTCCATATAAAAGAAGTTATAATGAAAAGACAGTTAAATATAGTATACAAAGAAATATTCAAATAGCAGTATCGTTCTTAAATTACTGCAATATCACATATACAATAAATACCACATTGAAATTTTTAAGTTGGATATAAGTGTGCTTCCAAAAGTTATACATCCTATGATATAGCCGAGTAATGAACAGAATATTGGTCTGTATCTATAATACATATTGTAATGCCAAAAATTAAATATTTAAAACATATAATACTTGCATAAGAGAATGATGAACAAATCACTTCGTACAAAGCTGATATACAAACAAACACACACACACACACACATATATATATATATATATAATATATATATATATATATATACACACACACACACACTATATATAATAATAACTAAGTTAGTATTAACTAACTTATTATAGTATATATACAC